TTTTAAGTAATATGTTTTGTTTTTGTTTTCCTTGTTAGGTTCTGGAGCAAAAAGGAAATTTTACGAAGAAGATTGGGAAGGAAGATGAGAGAAAAGACTCAATTGAAGAAATTGAAAGTTAGAGGGGTGAAATGCAAAGTTAAACCCAAAAACCCAAACCCAAAACCCAAACTCAAGCCCAATTACCCAAAAACCAAAACCCACCAAAACCAAACCCACAATTACCCAAACCCAAAACCCAAATAACCATAAAAATAGAAAAAAAAAAAAAAAAAAAAAGGGTGGGGAAGGCACCTCGAACCTTCCCCTTCTTCTTCCATTTTTTCTTAAACTTTTCTCTCTCCCGAACCAGCCCCTTGCCGCTTGCAACCGCCTAGGCCCGAGCCATCATGCCCCTACCGCGCCAGCCCTCCTCTGCACCGAATCAGCTTCCTCTCCCTTCTGCACCGCGCCAGCCTTCCCCTGCACCAGATCCCTTCGCCTCTGCGCCCAGATTCCCCCTCTGTTGCCCTGCTGCACCCCAGCCTGCACTCTACCGCGCCCCCTAGCTCCTGCACCCAGCCTTTCTTCCTGCACCAGCCTTGCTCTGCACCAGTTCCTGCGCTCTGCACAAGATCCCCTTGCTCTGCACCAGATTGCCTGCACTCTGCTATGCCTGTGCCCTTGCTGCTGCGCCCTGCTGCGCCACTGCTTGCCCTGCTGCACCCCAGCCTGCACTCTGCCGCGCCTCCTACACTCTACGCCCCCACTGCCGGCAATGATGCCCCTGCACGCCCGAGCCATCATCAGCACTCCACGCCCCTGCCTCCCTGCACACCGGGCCTCATCCCCAATCCTGCGGCTCTGCACTCTGCTTGCTACAGCCCCATCATTGCCTCACATGCAGAAAAGACAACGAATACCGGACAAATGAGCATCTTCAGAGAAATTTTTTTTAAATGTTATTTGTGTATATATATAGAGCAAAAAGCAGGTAGGGGGGGTGGTGGAGGAAGTTTGGAGTTTGATTTTGAGGTGGTGATGGTTGGTTGATTTTGGGTCTCTTTACTGGGGAGTTTCGTCTGAGTTTTTGAAAGCAATAGAAGGGGATTTACTGGAGAAGAAAGGGGGCAACAACGGTGGTTGAAAGGAAGGATCACCGAGCTTCCAGAGGAGCTTCATTTTCTGGTTTCATTTTCTGGGTTTCATTCCTTAGGTAATTTCTAAACAGAGGAATTTTTGGGAAGAGTCGTGAGGGAGAAGAAGGGAGCTTGATCCCGTGGTTGGGATCCCTCCCTTCGGATCTCAATCTGCTTTTTTCCAGAAATTTCACCTTGTTTGATTCTGATTCTCATAGAGTTTTGCATTATTAAAACTGTACTAGATGATGATATTGCGAATGAAATCAAGCATGTTTGTTGAATTTCATGGATCCGAATTGGAATGGATGTTTACTTGCTTTCTTTGTTATGTTTTGTTGGATGGCCGAACAGAAAATCCAGATCCTTTCTGTTTTTGTCCAGATTTCATTTTGGTCTAGGTTTTAATCTGCTTTTGCCCACTTTGGTTGGTGGGTTCGTGTTTTTGGGTTGGATCAACCTGACCCAATCCAATAAAAAAAAAAAACTAAAAAGGTTAAAAAAAGTAAAAAAAAAAAATCAAAAGTTATCTCTTTTATTTCAATTTCGCACAATCCTTTCATGTTCAAGCACTTTAGTCCAAAAATTTCAAATATTTTCAAATCAGTCCTTTATTTTTTTATTTTAATCAAATCAGTCCATTTAATTTTTATTTGTGTTTATTGTGCATGCATGTTCTTGATTGTCTATTTCAATCCAAAAAAAAAAAAAGAAAAAGTTTTGATTCGGTTTATCTCTTTTTTCAAGTTTACTTTTTAAGATTCAAACATAAACATAATAAATAAGTTGAATTAAAACCCCAATTTTAAAGTATGCAACCGTGTTTACACGGAGGATTGTGAGGTGCACGTATTGCCTTTCTCACTCCTAACCAAACCCCCAAACCCCGATCTCTGCGCAGACCCGTTTTAGATGACTTGTCCCACCTTATAATTTGGATGAGTGGTGACTCTCTTCTTTTTTATATTTTTACACTTGATTTTTTCAATTTATTTTGAAAAAAAATCTTAAGTGGTCGTCAATAATCATTGTTTGGTTTTTGAAGTTGTATTTTCAATACGATTCCAGATCTGAAACTTTGTCATTGGGATCTCTTCTCCTACAAATTAGATTGTTTATCCTCGATTCTCAGGATCTTTTTGAGGTATATTGTTGGTTTTTTATTTTGATCTTGGCATCTATTTCTTCATATTTTTTAGAGTTCTTCAGTATTGTGAGTTTTACTGATTTTATGGCAAGTTTTGAAAGGACTGTAACTCATCCTACCATTGCTATGGTTGCCAAAGAAGTGATAGACCAACCTAATGTCAACCTTGAATCCCTAAAACAGGTGATATTAAATCTTTTTAATACTCCTATTGCTTATCTACTATTGCAGGTACCAAACCTTGGTATTTTGATTCTGGTTGTTGTAACCATATGTCTTCAATTACTGCTCATTTCTCTTCAATGTCACCAAATAATTCATTTCCTGATATTTATTCTGTTGATGGTACCCCTATGAATGTTAGTCACATTGGCAATATCTCTACAAAGTCATTGACTTTACCAAATACCTTCTTAGTTCCAAAACTTAGTTATAATCTTCTATCTATCGGTCAACTATGTGATCTTGGTCTTAAAGTAACATTTTCTGCTCATGGTTGTCTTGTGCAGGACCCATGGACAAGACAACTTCTTGGAACTGGTCATAAGGTGGGGCATTTGTTTGAGCTCAACTATCTACATATTCCTGATAATAAAATTGATACACCATCATTTCCAAATGATCAATTCATCCAAACATTGCTTTGTGCCATTGAATTAGAGTATTTACAAATTCCATACCAACAAATTTTGCAAGCTTGTGTTGCTACTAATGTTTTGACTTTTCGTTTATGACACTCACAGCTCGGATATACCTCAGTTGGTAAACTTCGTCCACTTATCTCTTATGGTTTGTTAGGATCAGTTTCAAATGAATCCTTGCATTGTATGTCATGAAAATTTGCAACGCAACCAGCTTTGTCTTTTTCGAGTAGTCATTCTCATTCTATTGCTCCTTTTGATCTTGTGCATTCTGATTTTTGGGGTCCATTTCCTATACCTACCATAGGAGGTTTCAAGTATTTCGTATTATTTATTGATGATCATACTCGTTTTAGCTGGATATACCTTATGAAAAATTGCTCTGATTAATCATAAATTTATATTGATTTTGCTACCATGGTAAAAACTCAATCCTCTAAAATTATCAAAGTTTTGAGAACTAACAATACTACTGAATATCTTGGTACTAAACTTCAATCATTTTTGAAAGAATATGGAACACTGACACAACAATCTTATCCCTACACTTCTGAACAAAATGGGCAAGCCAAACGTTAACACAGACACATCTTTGATTTTGTTCGTGCTCTGCTTATTTCATCTTCTTGTCTAGAGCGATTTTGGGGTGAAGCTGCTCTTACAACTATTTATCTTATTAATTGCATTCCATCATCAGTCCTTAATAACCAGTTTCCATACGAACGTTTACATGGTATTCTTCCTACCTATAATCTCCTTAAGGTTTTTGGTTGTGCATGTTTTGTTCTTTTTCCACCTCATAAACATAACAAATTAGAGCTTAGAGCTCGATTATATTATTTTTTGGGTTATGGGATTACATAAAAAGGATGTCGTTATTGGAATCTTGTGTCATAAAAACTTCAAGTTTCACGTCATGTTGTCTTTTGGGAACGCACTATGTTCTCATCGTTGTCAATCTTCGAAGTGTCATCGTCTCATCAACCTCCATTTTTTACTAATTCTTCTATTGTGCTACTTCCTAGTGAGTCTGATGCAGGTATATCTGATGAATTCTACAATGCCTCACCACATGCTCCACCTAGTTCTAGAGAAGATGATCTGCCTACTGGTAATGTATTAGATAATTATGAGCCTTTCTCTACTTCTTCCTCTATATCACCTGTTGATATTGTTGAGTTTGCAAATGAGCTTGTTGTCCCATCTTCAAGTCATCCTACTAGGGTAAGAAACCCTCCCAACTACCTTTGTGATTATCATTATTTTCCTGCTATTATTTCTTTACATGAGCCTTAATCCTATTAAGAGACATCTTCTAACTCTCTTTGGCAACAAACTATGTAAGATGAATTACAAGCTCTTGAGAACACTTGTATATGGGATTTAGTTGATCTCTTTACTAAAAAGTCTCTAATATGCTGTAAATGGGTGTACAAGATCAAAACACGATCTGATGGTTCTGTGGAACATTATAAGGCATGCTTGGTTGCCAAGAGTTTTACACAAGAGTATGGCATAGACTATGAGGAAACTTTTGCTCCAGTTGCTCGTCTCACATCTGTGCGTAGTTTGCTTCCTATTATTTGAATGTTGGTAGGTACAATTTCTTCTTTCTTTGTTTTAGCCACCTGTTTTTATTTTGGTCCATTTTCTCCCTCCTGATGTTCAGGCTGCTACCCCAGCTCCTGTTGTTCAAAACGATGCTGCCGATGGTGACGATGATGAGCCATTGAATGAAAATGACGATGATGATTTGGATGATGTGGACCAGGGAGAGGAGCGGAACACACAACATTTTGTTTTGGCTCAGTTTGACAAGGTGCTACTTGGAATAATCATGAATCCTGTTGCACATAAGCGATATAGCAAAATTTGTTTTGAAGAAGTTTCATTGTTTTCAGTGTAATCTTATTATTAATAACAATATATGTTTTGGTGGGTAGGTCACGCGTACCAAGAGCCGATGGAAGTGCAAACTCAAGGATGGAATTGTCCACATAAACAACAGGGACATTCTCTTTAACAAGGCAAGGTTTTCCTCAATTGATTCCTGGAATTCCCTTTTCCCGTTATTTTCTTAAATCCATGGTTTTTACTGGAGTGCTTGTATCTTTTGCAGGCAAATGGAGAATTTGAGTTCTAATTTTGTTAGAGACATGCCTATTTATCATCAAGTTGCGGTTAAGGATCAAATCTGAGTTGTCTTTTGGTCCTACGTAATTTTTTTAATTATTATTATTAAATGGAAGCTAAAGATTGTGCATAAAAAAAAAATGGTATAAGCCTTTTCGGCCTTAGAATCTATTGATACTCAAAACATGTTTTATGAAGTTTTACCATTTCCCAGATGGAAATTGTAATTCCATTCGGACTTACAAATACTTCGGAACTATTTTTTTCATGTTGACAATCTACCAGTTGCTCCGTTTGTTCATTTTCTTCATGTTTTTGAAACCAAATCAATTCCCAATCCCATACCTGTTATCTTCTATAATGTGTTTGCATTGAATACTTGATTCCACCAAAATCAGACATTGATAAAAATTATGATTATTTTCTTAGATTTTCAGAAAAGTTAAGATCGTCTGTGAATTTACACTTTTTGTGTTGCTTGTAAGTATTTTTCTTCTCTTCAAAATTTAAAGACTTGATGTAAAGGTTCTTGAATGGACAACAGATTTCATATCTCTTGCTTGAGGAAATCAGCTATATTACAGATGAGGAAAGATGATGACTTGGAGGGTAAAGGTCTCCCTTATCCATTCTGCAATGGCTTCCAGTGCCTGCGTTCAGCCTGTGTTGAAACTGGGACATCCACACTCATACCAACCCAAGAAACACCCCTTTCTCGCTCGGTGCTCCTTCGCTAATCCAAACCCATCTCCTCTTTTCTTATATCTTGCTAAAGTTGCCATCTTTTCGAAGTCACCGTCGTCTTTTTCTTGTCAAAACTGAGATTCACCGTAGGGAATCGAGAACTGATAATTTCTTTTGGGTTTTCAGGGTTGGCTAAATGTTGAATTGTGGGGTTTCTGTGGGTTTTATAGGTTGGAGCATAGAGAGAGTATTTTGCAGGGGAAGAAGCAGGGTCACTTGTGTCTGACGCATCGAATCAGGATACCTTTTCTTGGGCTTCAGTGATTCTTCCGTACGTTTTTATCTTATGTTGTTATCTTTTCTGTGTTTTTTTAACGTTTTTGTCAAATGGGCATTTCTGTCTTGTTGAATTACTGATATTTGCTGTTTTAAGGTTTTATTAGCATTTTCTTGATTCATTGCGGTGAAATGAAATTTAATGCTTTTGGATGAAAGTCCCTCATAAATGGGCAACTATTTGATGAAATTTTGAAGAAAAGAATAGTGGATTGATTCTTCAAATGTCTCTTAATCAGATTATATAGAAATTATTGCCTCTACTTAATTTGATTTTTGCAAGCAGACTTTTGTTCCCATCTTTAGGAGGATGGATTGTTATTTGGGTGTGACATTGGCGCCACCTCTGGTGCTACCATCTCTTTGCAGGTAACAGTCTAGTGGCTATTTATCCCATTATGTGAGTGTACTTTTACATTGGTGACTGCATGATTTTTAATGTTTTTGTATCTAATTGACTGTCTCAAATTATCTCTCAGTCACCCCAGCTTAGTGGCACAACTTGGTTTAAACTTTCAGCCATTCAGCTAGGTCTAGTGGTATGGTTCTGTCTTCTACTTAAACTGCAGTGGAAATCTGATGCCTTAAGTCTGACAAAAATAAGGGTAATGAGTTCCTTTGTTATATTGCCTCGAATGCAGGTTAGTGGGTCCCTCTATGGGGCTCTTCTTGGCTCCCTCCTTGTTTACCCAATTGCAGATTTCCTTGGTATATCATTTGCTTGCCTTCTTTGTTGTAGTTGGAATCTATATATGACATCTCCTAATCCAGTGTTTGTGTTTTATGCTTGAAGGGAGAAGAAGGGAACTTACATCAGCTGCATTGCTATATGTACTTGACACTTTGACAACAGCCCTCACTCCAGACCTTGGTGTTCTCTTAGCAAGACAGCTACTCTATGGCCTTGGTATTGGCTTGGTGAGCTTCTGGAAACTTACCACCATTGCTTATGTGCTTAACTCTAAGCACTGTCATCATTTAATGTTCACAGGCCATGCATGGGGCTCCCCTCTACATTGCAGAAACTTGCCCTTCTCAAATACGTGGAACTCTAATATCTCTTAAGGAACTTTCCATAGTTCTGGGAATTTTGGTAATTTTAAGATTTTCATATTTATTTTATTCACTTTCATTGTAGAATATGCTGAGCTGAAATATTGATTCTTTCACAGTTGAGATATTTTGTAGGAAACTATCAAATTAACGCTATTGGAGGATGGTGTTAGTTGTATGGGTTCAGCGCCCAGTGGCATTACTTATTGGAGTTGGCATGTGGAGTCTTCCACCATCACCACGCTGGTTACTTCTTCGGGCAGTTCAGGGTAAAGGATCTTTACTACAGTACAAAAAGGAAGCCACCCTTGCACTAAGCAAATTGAGGGGCCAGTCTCCCAATGATGAAGCCTCTGAGAGGCAAATAGAAGATACCCTCATCTCAGTAAAGTCTGCAAATGTGGAAAAGGAATCTTAGGGGAATTTCCTGGAGGTATTTCAGGGGCCAAGTTTGAAGGCTTTTATAATTGGTGGTGGTTTGGTTCTCTTTCAACAGGTATTTCTCATTTTTGCTGTCACAGACAGTTTACAGTTATTTTCTTTTAAGTTGTATTATGCAATTTTATTTTATGGTTCTTCTAACAAACAAGTAATGGAGATAGTACATGAAAGATTTAGGAATATCATGTTAAGGAGCTGATTTACCACCTGCTTGTGACAGATAACTGGCCAACCAAGTGTCCTGTACTATGCAGGTCCTATTCTACAGGTACCTGATGCATGATAGTCAATTTATTTATTTTTTGTCTTCTAAAAAATGAAAATCTTATGTAATTTACTAATTTCCAATCCATTGTACTAACAATTTAATAAGTTAATGTATTTATAACATACCTCCCTAGACACTTTTAGTCCTAAAAAAGTTCGAAAACAAAATTTATAGTAAAGAATTGCAGCGGAAGTAAAAAAACACTTATGATATAAAATATTTTTTCAAAAGAAAACCTACATTCAGAAAATCAATTTAATAAAAAGAATATCATATATATTGAAAAATGTCAAAATATTCAAAGTTATAAAATAAACTAAACTAAGTTCATTTATAATTAATTTAAAGGTTTTATACATAAAGCTAATTTACACAAAAATTATATGAGGCAAATTCTTCTTCAAAGGTTTTCAAAAAAACAAAAGCTGAGTCATTGTTTTGGTAACATATCGATCTGCTTCCTTATCGAAAACACAAGACTCTAGCTTGTACATACAACGAGCATGCAAGTCCCGTGCCAAAAGCTCATAAACTGAGAGGCTGCTACCTCAATCTACTGATCTGAAATCGGGGAGAATTTTATGAGCTCACAACTCAGTAAGTAATAAGTTTAAACTATAAACTTGGGCCCTAAGACCTTTAGACCTATCCACATAAATAGCATAAGACACAACGAAATCAAATCACATAATATTTTAATTCTCACTATTTAAATAATGACTTAATGTCTCAAATCATAAGCATAAATGTCAAGTAATAGTCAATGACATTTAAATTGAATTCATATACTAAAATCATATGCTCACAAATACAACGTCACAAGCACAATGCATAAAATTGAAAATCACACAATGCTATGGAATCCATTGAGGTGTGCTAGCAACACTGTACCGGAGTTAATCACGGTACTAACCCTACTGCGCAGAGGTCCACTGAATACCCCAAGCTTTAAGCTTAGATCCACTTACTCCATAGCCACAAACACATACGCATATCAAACAAATTCATAATATGTCCAAAATAATATTAGGACTCCCTATTGGAAAAAATCAAAGCATAATGCGTGAACAGTAATCATAAACAGTAATCGTAAACAGTAATCATGAACAGTAATCATGAATAGTAATTCGCAAATAATACAATTTACTTATAATTCCTGCAGCCAAAATTCACACCCAAATCAAACAATAAAAAGGACTAACTCACTATTTTTCCCATATAAGCCCCAAAATTAAGAATATTTCTAATAAAAGTTTAATACCTAAAAATCTTATAAACCAAAGGATTAAAGTCAAATCTCACCAATTTAAACTATCCAAAAATCTAACCTAAAATTCATAACTAAAACTTATATTTACCTAAGAAAAGCACCTTAACTTTGGTTGGAGAAAGAAGGAAGAAAATGACGTAGGTGGAAGAGAAAGGCATAGGAAAACCAAATGAGGCTTTTAGGAGCCTTCTGGAGGCTTATCCAAGCTTCCACCGACAAAGAAAAAAAACTTGGCTGGGACAATGCCATGTGGTAAGCAAAATTGAGATAATTGAGTTATGGTTATTTAACTTCTACTAAGTTTTACTTAAAACTCTCAAACTTTAAATCCAATCAATTTAATTCTTAAAACTATAAACTAAAAGACACTAATTTTAAATTATTAGTATGTGGGGTGTTACAGTATTATTGTTTGGTAAGAGTGCTGGGTTCTCTGCAGCTGCTGATGCTACTCGAGTTTCTATAATAATTGGTTTGTGTTCGGTTATTTCTCAAAGAAATGAAGAGAGACGTTGAAGAGCTGAAATCAAGTTTCCATTTCAGTTTTCCAACATTTGTACATCGAGAGTTTAAATTTTGAAATTCAAAAAATACAAGCTAAGGAGCTCTTTTACAACAATATTTTATTATCAAAATAATACACATCATCACATGGCTCCAACTAGAAATATGACTAGAAAAGGACACAAAACAGTTTGGTTATTTTCAGTTTAACCAAACTGAACTGGGGCAGCTTGATGGCACTGATATACCGCTACTGCCACCTAAGCTACTTCACGTAACTTCCATCAGTTTGTTCAAGGTATGCCTTACCAGAACTGATTGCTTGTTGTGCTCTCCTCTTTCTTCTGGCATTGGTTAACTGTTTTTAATCCTGCAGTTGCTAATGACATGGATAGCTGTTGCAAAAGTTGATAACCTTGGGAGAAAACCTCTGCTGATTGGAGGTGTCAGTGGGATTGTATGCATACTATCCTCTTCATTTCTGTTTTGAT